GCCAGAGTCAGAGCCAGAGTCCGACCCTGGACCTTCCGTGAGGAGGCCATGGAGGGATTCTGTGATGCTTTTGATCATCCCCATGAACTCATTGTTCACGGGGGACGGGATCGTGCGCTGTGCCACAAGGTGGCTAACGGAGACACCATCGGGGCGCTCCATGCGGAGTGTTCTAGAGAGAGGGTGAGGCAGCGAGGTCCTCCCTGGATGGCTGGGGTCCGAGGGTGACACCGAGCTGGCGCTCAAGCCTCCTGTAGCTGGAACCGATGGAGGGGAGAGACTGGATGGCGAGATGGGCCAACGCCAACTCTCCTCCCACCATGACGATGAAGTCCAGGTCACCAAAACACACATGTGCGCCCAGGACCTAGCTGATTACGTGGTTAGCCATTCGAGGCCTGATTTGGAATGCACAAAGGCCCCTACCTGGCGCGCCAACTGTCGGTGTTTTGAACAAACACCGGCTAGTAAATTTATAATTGTTGCACGTTAGGCCCAGATGGTGCACTAAAGGACACAAGGTTTATACTGGTTCGGGCTAAATATCCCTACGTCCAGTCTGCTACTGCTCATGTTATCAGTACCGAAAAAGGTTCATAGTAGGGGGTACAAACGGTCGAGAGAGGGAAAGGTCCCAAGTCTCTAATAGAATGGTCGAAAGGACGCTAAAAGCTCGATCACTGCTTGGCTGTGTGCGTGATGTGTTGTGTGTGTCAAACTGATCCCCCTTCGTGGGGTGTCTTGCCCTCCCTTTTATAGACCAAGGGGGAGCAGGGGGTTTACAGATAGGAGAAAGGGGAAAAACCTACGATAGAGGTCGCCCTTCGGAGGTGCCAAGCTTTCCTTTTCACTTGAGCCTGTTCCACTGTCATGGCAGATCATGGCAGGGATAGTGTGTTCGCTGACCCTGACAGGGCCATGCCCTGGCCTTGCTTCAGTGAGTGGTTATGTCCCATCCCCCCGGCAGATGGTGCGGGGTGTCAGGGCACCGAGCCATGACTCTGCGGGGGGTAGACGGGAAAATGACTATACGCCTGTTACTGTAGATGACGTGAGTTCTTCTTTGGATTTTTGCGGTTGTCGTATGCCTGTGTTAGTATCCGCGTCCGAGGGCTGAAGGCGGCACCTACTACACTGTGGGGCAAAAGTCGGCGCCTACAACCCTATTCGGGCACTGTTATGTCGGAAAGGGCTTAAAGCGCCCGTCCCATCGTATCTTGATGGTACCTTTCTGTAGGCGTGCAGGCCATGGTCCTTGGTACTGTGGTTGACTCGAATGTCCTATCGTACCATGCGCTTATCAACGTGGAGGAGCAGGGTGCAGTCGTCGGGCGAGGCGGAGCCAGCCCTTAGCCGTCGGGCGAGGCAGAGCCAGCTCTTAGCCATCAGGCGAGGCGGAGTATAGCCCTCGGGCGTTGGGCAAGGTGGAGCTAGCCCATCTCCGTCGAGCGAGGCGGAGCCAACCCTCAGGTGTTGGCCGAGGCGGAGCCAGCTCTCCTCCGTCGGGCGAGGCGGAACCAGCTCTTTGTGCATCGGGCGAGGCGGAGCCAGCCCTTAGCCGTTGCGCCCCCCCACTCCCCCAGTAGGGAAAGAGGCCATGAGTTGGTGGTGCGACGCGGAGCTTTCCGCTTGTTGAACGGCGGCGGTCTCCACCAGCCCCCGGAGATTCCGATGGACCGCCTGCTCCTGTGGGTCGATAGGCTCGGGAAGGCCGCGCAGAAGCATCGCCGCCGCGGCGATGTTCTGGCTAGCCCGAGCGAACTATGGGGGATCGTTCCCCCCGTCGATGATGTTGCGCTAAACCTGGCGGGCGCGACCTCGGCGTCGCTCGCTGGGTTACTCGCAACGGGCACAACGTGGTGTGCCGAGTGCACCGGCGCAGATGGTGACTAGTTCTGCCGCCCTTTGTTGTAGCTCCTCATCGTGCTCCTGTGCACACATGAGGGCCTTCGCGTGAGGGTCCAGAGGGGTGTGGGTTGTAGAGACTCCGCTACCACCGACGGCTGTCCCGGTGCATCCGCCATAGTGCACTCCTAGGACAGAAGGTGGTTAGGTGCCACGACGTCACCGATGCTGGAGCCATCGCTTTCAACCTCGTCATCCATGAGGTCATGGAAAGAGGCAGGAGCTTTGCTCGCCATCCCCATGAATTCGGATGTGAGAGGGGGTGGCGCTAGCATCATTCGGAGCCCCCGTGCGTACGTGTCCACGGGGAACGCGAGGTCATAGGGGAACCGGTTGCATGGCGGTCGCGGCGAGGACAACGGGGTCCCTCCAGAGAGTCAGCAAAAGATATGTAATAGCGAGTAAAGAACAATATGTATGTTACTCACAGTAGGGTTTGAGCCTAGCGTAGGCTCAGAGCGAAGCACAGGCGCCTCGTCGTTGAAGTCACCGGGTGTCCCGGAGCCGACGGAGGATGCTCCTCCTCCGACGGGCGCTAGGACAAGTGCCTCCTTGCAGAGGTGAAGCACGCCGAGCTAGGCGGCGATGAAGTCCAGGCTTCCAAAGAGGAAGGCCTGAGATGGCTCGAAGATAGGAGGAAACCACATCCCAACAGGTGGGAGTGCGGGAAAATCCAGCGAGCCAAAGCGAGTCATATCGCTTGAGCCCGCCATGCTGGAGACGGTGGAAAGGTGGGCCATCCGATGACCAAAAGCGTGAACGTACGGCGACCTCCCCACGGACGGAGCCAACTGTCGGTGCGAAAAGTAACCAACACGTAAATATTTGTAGTTTTGTCATACGTTGTGATCGGATGTGGCCTAGCACTCAATGACACAGGGTTTATACTGGTTCAGGCAACGTGCCCTACGTCCAGTTTGAGTTGGTTGGTGACTTTATTCCAGAGTCCAGGTGCTCGAAGTTTACTGTGGGGTTATAAACGAGAGGGAGTAAGATGGGGGTATCAGAGGTCCGGTCGGACTCCGGGCCGAAGGGCCAAGAGTGACGAGAGCTTCGACGTGCGCTAAGTGTTCAAACATATGCTCTGTCTGGCTTTAGAGTTCTAGAGCCAAGCAGAGAGAATCGGAATCAACTGTCTGAATCCTCCTCCTTTTAGAGAGAAGCGCATCTCCTTTTATAGATGAAGGGGACGGCCTTACAAGAGAGAGAGTGTGAGAGAAAGAGAGTGTGTGTGCTACCTATTATTGTTGCCCACGCCGTCGGGTATAAGGTGGTTTGTCGGCGCCCACAATACTGTTGACGCCCAGATGCATGTGGTAGGCTCCATCGTAATCTTCTGGTATGGCCAATGTCGACGCCTACCATACTATAGAACAAATGTCGGCGTCCACAACAATATTCGTGTCCTGCCATGTTAGAAGGTTGCAAAGTACCCTTCTGACATGGCCTGATAGTACTATCCTATGGGTTTGCAGGGTACGGTCCTCGGTATTACGGTTGACTTGAGAGCCCTGCCTTACTTGCTCTCGCCTGATTCTTTGGGTCCTTACCGAGCGGGCGTCCCCGTTTGGTCATTTCCTAGTCGTCTCCGACCGCGCTGGTTGGAGAAGAGCTATAAGAAGAGGTTCGGTGGCCTTCCGGTTGGAGAGGCGGGTCGGAGTCGGAGGCGAGCGCCGTTTCTCCTTGGCTAGGACTTTCGGTCGGAGAGGCGAGCCGGGGTCAGAAGCGAGCGTCGTCCTCTCCTTGGCCAGGCATTCCGGTCGGAGAGGCGGGCCAGAGTCGGAAGCGAGCGCCGTTCCTCCTCGGCCAGGCCTTTCGGTCGGAGAGAGCGGGCTAGGGTCGGAAGCGAGCGTCGTTCCTCATTGGCCGAGCCTTCCGGTCGGAGACTGGGTCGCTCTTCTGACTTGTCGTTAGGTATTTGGGCTGGCCCAAGAGTTGCACGTCAGTTTGCAACGTCGTCTGTTGGGCCGAGCTTTTTTGTTGTGAAGCAGGTCCATGAGGGACCGCGGGTTTATGAACCCGACACCTTTGATTGACAATGAGGTAGATTTCGAGTCTCTTTTCCTAAATATTTTAATTATTTATTAATTATATATTTTTGTGTGTAATTTAAAACTCAAGGGTTGAGATTCATTTGAGAACTTACTATGTATGGGGTAATTGGAGTAAAATAGCAAGAGCCAAAAATAATAATAATTCATACTTAAAAAACATATCGAAACACTTTCTTCCTGTACTTAGAAGTGGAGAGCAAACAAAGAAAACTCGCATTTGAGTGTGTTATCTTTCATTTATCTTGTACAAGACAACCAACTCTCTGTATTCTTCATGTTGCAATTCTTGGTAGACATGGTATGACATATGTATAGGCAAAAAAATTGCTTGATTTATCTCTCTGTTGTGTTTAATTTGTTTGGTTATTAGACATGTTGAATCGTCGGCTAATGCTCGAATAGGATGATCTGTGCACTAAACCACAAACACAACAAGAACTTGATGGTAAAATCCTTAAACCTAAAGCTATAAAGCGACCTCAATTCCTTTTTTACATTAAAATTTTCTATTTTATCTTTATTTAAAAAAGGAAAAGAGAGGATGAACAAAGAAATTTAAGTGTCTTTAATATTAAGGATTAAGGATAGAATATATTCCATCTATCCTATAATAAATAAGTTTCTAGAAATCTTCACCAAAGTTAAAAACACTGCTAAAAGATGTATGTACCCTCATATTCAGGAAATAGTAAATTAGGAAGGAATTTAAGAAAAATCTAATCGTATCAGAAAAAAAAAGCTGATCACAAATTCACAAATAACAGCAGGTGGACCCCGAGGTATATAGAAAACAAAGCAAGACAGCCAAAGTGGCCATAGGGGCAGAATCGTCTTTCCGGCCACGGTCGCCCGTCGATTTAGCCGACCCCCGGCCGAGCCCCCTCTTCCGTCCCAACCCGACGTCTGACGACCCCCACTTCTCCCTCTCCGCACTCTGACACCTACACAACACGCACGCGCTAAACCCACGCGCACGCAGGAAGGCACGCGCCCGCGCGCTTGCGCTTGCCCTGCGCTCGTGCTCTTACCGCGCCGGCCGGGATGGGCGCGAACAAGGGGATGGCGACGGCGGCGGGGACGGCGGTGCTCCTGTACCTGGTGCTGTCGGGCCGGCTCTGCGGGGACGCCGCGGGCGGCGACGGCGGCGCTGCCCTGGAGGACCAGCTGATATCGTCGGCCGTGTCGGCGGCGACGGAGGCGCGGCGGCGGAGGAAGGAGGACGCCCGGGCGCGGCGGGAGCACCAGCGGCGGGCGGCGTCGCGCGCCACCAAGCGGCGGCGGTGGCCCGAGCGCGCCCCGGACGGGTGGGGCGAGGCGGCCGCCCTGGCCGCGCGCACCGTGCGGCTCACCTGGGCGGAGACGCTCGGCAAGTGGGCCCTCGGGGAGCTCGCCTTCGGGATCAAGTACTACATGCGACAGCAGGTATGCGTGCCGGAGCCCGCGCCCTCCACGATCGCCGGCCTTGCGACGCCGACGAGAAGTAGCACCCTGCGCTCTCCTCCCCATTGTGCCGTTAAAATGTTCGTTTTGTCCTTGGCTTTGTCTTGCGCGAGTTTTTTTTTCCCCAAGATTTTTCACTTTTGGGATTGCCCGCCTGGTTAACTTGGAGGTGATGTGTTTGCTTCCGTGGAATTTTTCTCGGTCAAGCTTGGTTTGTCGCCTTTTCTTTTCTTTGTCTCTTTATTATCTTGTTTGAAAACCGCGAAATGGAAAATATCTCCCGGGAAGAATCTTGCTTGCGTGCAAGAAAAGATGGAGAAGAAACGCCCCCAATCTGCGCGAGTTTCTTTCCTTCGTGGTCCTACGTTGCGCATTTATGCTGTGTTCTTCTCTTCCTTTCCCTCTTCTGGATGGGTCGACAGTCCTGCAGGCCCATGGCTTTTTGAAAGAAACTATCGTGGATTAGGAATCTGATCAAATACTGGACTATTCTGAGTTGCTGGCTGAACTTGCTGAAAATCTTTTTGGTCCAGTTTTGAAGAAAGTCCATATAGTTGCTTCAACTGGGACCACACCTTACTACGTAGTTAGTAAGTGCTAAATGCTTCTATGTTGCAATATGCTTCCTTGCCAGCGCAGCCTGTTTGGTTGGCTGGTTCGTATCGTTGCTGATTCGTTTATGTGAGAGAGAAGTACTGCTGGCTGGTTACGTGGGTACTTGCCAAACGGGTACATGATCTGAATGCGCGTTGTCTTAGTTTTTTAGAATTCTTGAATGTTACACAATTCGACGAACAGTTCAATGAGCTTCAATTATTTTCTATTACCACTTTGCTGACATCTGTTTTGATGGAATTGGTCGTATGCAGTTAGCTTTTCACCTCACCATCCATATATAGTATTGTGTTCTCTTCAATAATTTGGTGATTTTGGTCCATCATGGAGTGGGACTACTTTAGCATGCCTATTAAATTTGACTCCTTGTGATTGTTTAAGAAAATTGTTTTATATATAAATAAACAACCCTACTTTCGGTCTTTCCCTCCTAGAAACCAAACTCCACTTTGATTACTTTAGGCACCAAGAAATTGTATAGTTAAGTGATCGTTGGATTTGAACCAGATACCTAACTGATAAGATGCTAGCCGCCTTTAGCTGCTCTAAGTATTCTACATTCTAGAATCATAGGTTGTGATATTTTTTTTTTCTCTAGAAATTGGTCTGCTCATTTGTCTTTGTACTTTTATCTTATTTCTGTAAGCTGTGATGTCGACAGATTACATATTGTCATGGATAAATGAGACATGTCAGTTTACTCTTACAGGGTAATCTGCAGCATGAGTATGCTGGGAGTGATTCTGTACTACTGCATGGGCCTGAGGTAAGGCAGGAGCTGATTTCGCTGCTCAGATATCTGTTGCAATGCATGTATTTCTCGAAGAAGCCATACAACGTGTTTTTGGAGTATGGTGGTTATGGCCAGAATGATGTGCTTATAAAGAAATCTAAGGCGAGGGTGCGTAAGTATCAGTTAACTCTCTGTTGTCAATTATGCGTTGAGACTCAACATCCCAAACTTGTCACGGGCGATTTTTTTTTCTGTTCATTCCGCTGCTGATAATAAATCAAGAGTAACTGGATGAAATTCTGTTCTATCATGCAGCTCCTGAAGCCTGCTTTCACCATTGTTCGTGACAGAAGTAGCAAATGCTTTCTCCTTTTCATTAGGGGGGCTATCAGTGTTAAGGAGCGGTTGACAGCAGCAACTGGCGCAGAGGTTCCATTTCATCACGTTGTGGTCCAGGAAGGTCGTGTTTCCAACCTAGTGTTGGGCTATGCCCACTGTGGAATGGTTGTAGCAGCTCGATGGATTGCAAAACAAGCCATTCCTTGCCTGAGTAAAGCAATCGAGGAATTCCCAGAGTATGAGGTTAAGGTAATTTCTTCAGCTCTAGCGAGTATCTGCAGGTGATCTTTTTATGTTCAACCATTCTGCATTGTCAAAAACTCATGGTATTACATATTGATGAGTCATCTATTGTCCGTTCTTTTAGATTTTCTGCTTCTGTATTGAACTACAATTCTGTAATTCGGAATTGATGCTTACTTGTCTACCTAGTAAATTGCACAAAAGCAACATAAGCCGTGAATGCTAAAGCAAGTGGAACTGCAAGTTGTTATCAACTGGAAATGCCAAATATGTTTTTTCCTTTCTTAAAGCCAAAGCAAATGAACTTCTAAGCACTCTTGCAGTAAAGTATCATCAATGGACTTTAGGATTCTCTAGTGTCTGAGCAAGAATCTTAAGAAAATAGATTGCCAAAGTGCTGAGGTACAAGCTTAAAGTTATGACTACCATGAGTAGAGAGAATAAGTGGACCACACTCATGAATGTAAAAATTTAATCAAAATAATAATATGAAACTAATGCTGAACAACTTAATACTGTTGTATCTCATTTCTTCATTGACTTTCATATTTGTTTTTTACGAAACTTTCATATTTATTTATGTGATTTTCAGTGTATTTATAATTTTGTTAGCTAAGCAGTGCGTGTCTACTCAAATGTTCATGTGTAGAACCTGAAGAAATTTATTTGAATTTGTTTTGCTTTAATTATTGTTCATCCTAGATGATTTCTTTTGTTTTGGGAGGGACTTCTATATAGCCCCACATTTCTTTATATCCAACTTTTATCACAGACAGTATATGATGTTTCTATACATAAACTCTCTTTCCTTCCTTAATTGAGAAGCAGAGCTCCTGCCAGGTTCCTTAAAAAAAAAAGTATATGATGTTAAATATTTGTGCTTTGCATCTGACCCTTTCTTCATTTTACTTTATTTTGTTTAGATCATTGGACACTCAATGGGAGCTGGGATTGCAACAATACTAACATACATCCTACGCGAGAACGAGAAGCTGTCATCATCCACTTGTATTGCATTTGGGCCAGGTACTGCATTGAGAAGTATAGTTTACTTTGAACAATATAAGTTAAGAAAAGTCATTCCATTTCCATTCGCAAACAGTATCCTTCACTAAAACGCAACATTGGCATGCTGCCACAATACGATGTCTTGTAATGACTGCTCACTGGTTCACCTGTTGGCATTTGCATTCACACTTTTCATTTTATAAGAGAGCTCTGGTATTAGTCATATTAAAAATTAAAAGGATGGCAAAGGATAATTATGTTGTATTTATGCTTAATGATAACTGCAACCGACGTTCTAAGATAGCTGTAATGAGCTATCTATCACTAGAACACATTGTTCTGAATTATCCCTAAACCTAGATCATTACTAGAATCTAACATCTCTGGAACGTTTCTCTGTTGTCTGAAAAAATTATCTTTGAATGCTTTGTTTGATATATTTACATTTCGACTGTGGCGATTCAGCTGCTTGCATGACATGGGACTTGGCTGAGTCGGGTAAAGACTTTGTTACCACCATTGTTAACAGAAATGACGTAGTGCCATCTCTTGGCATAGCTTCTGCTGCCAAGCTTCGTATAGAGGTACCTCTCGGCCAATTCATTTGCTGATTTGAGTATCTAAGCAAAGTGGAACACATAATTATATTGAATAGTTAAGTGGTTGGTTAGAAGGAAGGATAATTATTCTTCAAACAATTACTTCCCTTAAAAGAAAACATATATATATTTACTATTGTACTGAATGTTGGCAGGTTATGTCATCGTCTTGGGCACATGACCTTCGCAAACAAATTCAGCAGACTAGATTCTTAGGTTTTGTGAACCGTTCTGTGAGTTTTATAAGATCTCATGTGCCCTTTGTCTCTGATCCAAGATCTAAGGTTGTGGATGTTGATATGCTACAATCTGAGAGTCCTGAGGTATAATAAATTTGTTTTTTTGCTAAAAAATGTTATTCCATGAACTAGTTCTTAAACAGATGAAACTATAAATCTATTATGTCTAGTACTTATGCCTTCATGGTTTTTGGCAGGCTGGGAGTAAGCCTTCAGCAGATACCCATGCTGTGGTAAAGAAACGCCCTGCACTAGTTTGCTGGTCATGTGTGGCTGCACCCAAACAGAGTAAGGAATCGTCAATACAAATTCAGGGCACGGAAGTCCAAACCGACACTGATGTCCAAACTGAGAAAACTACCGAAGCGGTAGCTGCTGAGCTAGTCTCAATCCATCTTGGTGAACTAAACCTTCAAGAATCAGATAACGAGGACAACAACAGAGAGGAAAAGGGATCATCTCTGACAGAAACAAATGAAGAAGAGGCCATGGAGCTTGTAGAGTCATTGACTGACGAGAAGCAGGTGCCATCATCGTCAACCTCTGCTCAAGAACCACACCAGCTATACCCTCCAGGGAAAATATTGCACATGGTTGGATTGCCAGCAGCGGAAGAGGCAACCACAAGTCAGCAAGGAGCCCAGGAGGAGGTCCTCGCCCTGTATGAGACACCCCGGCATTTGTACAGTAAGATTCGCCTGGCGAGGTCCATGATAGGAGAACATTACATGCCCAAGTACATTAAGACAATGGAGCAGTTGATAGACAAGCTTGCAGAGGACATCGACGACCAGCTGGACTCTTTGTAGCATCAAAAGTGTGCACAGGATAATTATTGTACAGATCATGAAAAGGAAAATCATTGTTTCAGATTGCTTGTGCGTAATTGTAGTGGGTTTAAGTTTGTGATAGCGATCTAGAAGATGTACAGCACTGCCAGTTTGGCTCTGGTCTGTTTATTTGCTGTCATTTCACTTTGGCAAGCACCTCAGGAAGAGCTCAAAGAGCTGAACCTGGTGATTGTCTCTGTAATTTCAACTGCAGCAGTTTTTTAGCTGTGAATATTATTATATTAACCATTAATTCACGGGCATCATCTCTCTCAGGAGACTAGGGATGGTAGTCTGGCTTTCGTATGCGGTGGGTCAGGGTATGGATGTAAAATTCTACCCGTGGGCATGAGCGAGTTGGCAACTAGTGTACGTGAAAGTTTCTAGTTTGGTTTTTTTAGTTAAATACACTAATTGTCTACGAACTTGTCATAGTGTGCCATTTAGATCCATATACTCTCAAAATACATTTCTGGACCACTAAAGTTAGTTTTGTGGTGCACCATGGGTCCATTTGATCCATGTCAGCACATGTTGCCTATGTGGCATGGGTGACCTGGCACGTATCGTTTTCCCTCTCTTTTGTGCAGCAGGATGCGTCGCCGTCCGGAGCCATGGAATTATCGGACTAGGAGGCCACTGAGGTGGAGCCCGGGGAACAAGAGGCCGCTCACGGGCGCGCTGGCCACGAATAGCGCGGGCCGGGCACGGCGGCGGTGACATGACAGCCTCCTCTCGCTCGATCCGCATGGCGTTCCCAGACCTCCTGCCATCGTGTTCCGCGACGAGGCCGCGCTGCTGCCGCTGCTCCTGCAGGTGGTCTCCGTCTCCCTTGGCACGGCGTGCGTGCAGGAGTTGGCCCTCGGCTGCCGCCAGAACCTCACCGCCGGCGGCGCACCATGTTGGGCTTGAAGCACGTGTCGCTACTACTCGCTACTTGCTAGGCTGCATGACGTAACAGTCAACGCCCACCTGCGATTTCTGCGTACGTGGTGCCGTGCCGTCCCTATCCGTCCCCTAGCGTTGGGGCGCTCCCCTCGCCGCCGGCGCCGTGGAGCTTAGCTGCCCAGCGTTCCGGCTCCTCCAAACGGCAGCTGCCATGAAACACACCATCAGGCGAATCGATCCGTCGTCTCGGGCTCCACAAACACACAAGAACACAACCACATCGTGGCTCTCCAGTTTTTTTTTTTAATTTTAACACTTTTTTAAACTAATTCTAAATCTAACACTGTTTTTTTTATTTCAAAATCTAACACTTTTGACCGCGCCTATTGCCATGGTGCGGCGAAATACCTGCATGGTGACACGGTGAGAGGGCTGACGTGGCGACGATCGAGACACTGACCGGTGACGTGGCAGGGTCTACCATGCCACCGATCTTGGCTGGGCGACGCACCCATCTTGAATGCCCGTGACAAGGGGAGGGTGGGGGATCGACTTGAATGCTCGTGATCGCAAGCCCGCAACACACTTTTGAAACAACAGTGAGAAACAGCACGCAGACATGAAGCTGCGAACGACGACGGTCTATCACTATCAGAGACGAAGACCATCGTATCCGAGCTTGACCTTAACGCCACCGCCTAATTTTTTATAATTTGGTTTTTAAAAAAAAAATATATGTTCGACTCCTGAGAGATTTAAAGTCATCTTTGGATCCCTGGGGGTCGGCACCATGAGTCCTGCGCCGAAATAATATGTCTCGGTGTCACAGATCTTGACTCAGAGGTGTTAGCCGTGCACAGTAAGAAATCCTAGTTGACGCAATACCTCACCACCAGAATACATCTTAAATACATTAGTAGACATAGAATCGAGCTTGTCCAGCAGTAATCAGATAGTAACAAATTACATAATAGCTTGAATAAAGAGATGAAGCTCATGAAAAAAACGTATTCATCTTGACAAATACCTTATGAAGGTAGATTTTGTCCAGCAAACATTGTGGCATGATGTCCCTATGGCATGCACCTGCTCTATCACTTCCAAATATAAAAAAGGAGGTGCAGAAATATAGGAAATTATAAGCCGCATTTACTTGGATGATCTAATGCATCATTAAGTTACTGATTGCAGATGAGCTGCAGTTGCAAGGCCTAATATCGATGTTACCAACTCCCATTCGCAGCATGTAACATTCAACATATTTTAACCTCGGGAGCGCTGCCTCACACTCCCTTCTTTGTACTGTGCAGTAACAGCACCGTACTGTGCAATGTACAGGCGTAAGTACAGCCAATACACTGACGCCTCACATCTTGCCAGGTAGCCGCGGCAGCCGAGGCCAGGGCCCGAGCAGGAGGAGTTCTCTCCGCGCCACGCGGATGGAGATAGAATAGTCAATAGTGCATTAGTGATTGTTTAGTTTTAAAAAAAATCAAAAATGCTACGGTAGCTATTATATTAAATCTTTCTATACGTATATGAAGCATTAAATATGGTGAAAAAAAACTAATTATATAATTTAGTTGAAAATTATAAGACAAAAGTTTTGAGTCTAATTAATTAATAATTGAACATTAATTATCGAATAAAAACAAAAATGCAAATTCTCAGAAATTCGTGAACTAAACACAGGTTGGTGCCGTACCTCGCTGGCGCGAGTGTGAGTTGCGTCGCGTCGCCCTGCCCCGGCGCCATCATTGCATTGCCAGCGGTTCCGATGGAGACATGCAGTCAGGAGAGATACTGACGCAGGCTTTTCAATCCATTCTCGCCGTCAGAATAGGTCGGCGCCATCGTTGTATTGCCAGCGCTCCCGATGGAGACATGCAGTCAGGCGAGATAATTAGGTCCTGTTTGTTTCTACGTGTGTTTCTAAAATTCCTATCACATTAAATATTTAAACACATGTATAAAATATTAAATATAGATTAATTACAAAACTAATTACATAACTTACGACTAATTTGCGAGATGAATCTTTTAAGCCTAATTAGTCCATGATTTGACAACGTGATGCTACAGTAAACATGTGCTAATGACAGATTAATTAGGCTTAAAAATCGTCTCGCAAATTAGCCTCCATCTATGTAATTGGTTTTATAATTAATCTATATTTAATGATCTTTATTAGTATTTAAACATTCGATGTGACATAAATTTTAGGAGCGACTAAAGAACCAAACCTCCCTTTACTTAACAACAAAGGCACTAACCAAGGTTTGTTTGGTTCCCAACCATGCCACAAACTAATTTTAGGTAAATGTGTCAAGCCACAAAATTTAGCTACAAAATTTGATGCCACACTTTGCGATACCTAAGAGAAACTTCACATACTCCCTTTATTTCAAATTATAAGATGTTTTGATTTTTCTAGATACATTGATTTTACTATGTATCTAAACATAAATATACATCTAGATACATAGCAAAATCTATGTATCTAGAAATGCCAACATGTCTTGTAATTGCATAATTTGTGACTAATTTGTGAGACGGATCTTTTAAGCCTAATTAGTCCATGATACAGTAACACATGTGCTAATAACGGATTAATTAGGCTTAATAAATTCGTCTCATGAATTATCGATGGATTCTGTAATTTATTTTTTTATTAGTATCCGAACATCCTATGCGACGTCCCTAAAACTTTGGAATTTAAACGAGACTTAAGATTTGGGAGGGTGACGTGACGCCGCAGCAAACATCATCATCAGTGGCTCTTGAACTATTATGCCGTTGATCTGATGAATACTAGAATTTGTACAATGTGTGCTGTGTGAAATTAATTAAGCCTGCTGCTGCTTGCTGGTGCTCCCGGTGTATATATGTTGAATTTGAATCGGTCACTGACTCCACCAGCCATACGTACGGGTAGTATCAGTATGGGCAGCAGGCAGCCTGCTACGCGGTTGAGTTCGAGTCCAACTCGCGGCCCTGCTGCGTGCTTGTCAGGCCGGTCCGCGAGGCCGCACAGAGCAACTGAGCAAGCAACCGAGCGGTCTCTTTCGGCGTCTACCATGCTCTCCTGTGGGTGTATCTAGCCGGTTTCAATTTACGCCAAGAAATATTGACCCCGTTCACTTGTTTTAAATTTGACTTGTTCGACTTAGTTTACACGTGTTTTTCCAACAATTCAAAAATGTATTTTTTATATATTTACACGCCCACAAAAAATGTATTTTTTATATATTCTTGACGCGTGAATGCGTGATACATACTACAGGATCATCAGATGGCCTCACCACGACCTCACCATACCGACGGTAAAAAAACGGATGGATAAAAAACCAAAAGGTACGGTGACGTCAAGGTCAAGCTGTGATACGATGGTCTTCGTCTCTGATAGCGATAGGCTGTCGTTGTTCGCAACTTGCGTGCAGGCTGCTTCTGCTGTTGTTTCAGTAGTGTTGCAGGGTTGCAGTCACAGGCATTCAAGTCGATCCCCTGCCACCTTGTTTCTCTGTTCTTCCCTGCCACACCGTGATGGATGGCGCGGCGGCGCCGTGTCAAGATCGGTGGCGCGACAGACCCTGCCACGTCACCGGTCAGCGCCCCGGTCGTTGCCACGTCAGTCCTCTCATCGCGCCACCATGCATGGCGCGGCACAGACATTTTACCGCGCCATGGCAATAGACGCGGCCAAAAGTGTTAGATTTGAAAATAAAAAACAAACAATGTTAGATTTAGAATTAATTTAAAAAAGTGTTAAAATTAAAAAAAATCGCTCTCCACACGTTTCCAACAACTAACCGGCAGGCTGTCCGGACAACGGGACAAGCATGAAAAGAAAAAGGTGCAGCCATGATTGATGATGCTAATACCAGTATAGTACTAATCATCAATGGTGCTTTGTTGGTGTTCTCATGGGAACGAGCTGGACTGGACTGAATCTCTCTCTCCCGTGGCGCTGCTGCCAGGAACGGAGGACACACGAAATCCACGCAGGGGCGACGCCGCACGAGGCCGCAACGCTCCCGGTGCCCGGTGTCCGGGACGCTGCGTTCCCGGCGCCTGCCACCCAATGCGTTTGC